GAATATACAGGGTTTAGGGTTTAGGTTTAGGGTTTAGGATATGAAGGGAATATAAAGACCCGGGTAGGTCTATTCCTATGCTTCCTACAATATTATTGGGGTTCTTTGTTTGGGGTTTCCATTACGTTCCCTCTAGCTTACGGGTCTTGGCCTATGAGCCCTGGACTTAGGAATTTGTTCGTCCTGGAAGAGCCAAGCATAGCAGGTCTGGTGCACGCAGGATCTACTCTCAAGTGGAGGTGATCTGCTGCTGTTGGGTGTAGGGTTTAGGGTTTTAGGGTTTAGGGGCCTGGGAAGTCACGTAATCATCGGGCAGGCAGCACAGACCATGCTGAAGCACATCGAGCAATCCATGATTCCACCACCCTAAACGCGCAATCCGTCTACTTTGACACCCTAAAACCCTCAACCCTAAACTAAAGCCTTTTTGCCACTGGGCTGAAGGCAAGCTAGACTCCCATGCACAACCGAGGGCTATAAACCGAACCCTAAACCCTAAACCCTAAACCCTAAACCCTAAACCCTAAACCCTAAACCCTAAACCCCTGAACCCTAAAACCCCGGAGGCGCCTTAGACTTGCTCCTCGCGCGCGTGAACAGGTGGGCCGTGGGAGTCCCTGCCTCGACATGTGGGGGTTTAGGGTTTAGGGTTTAGGGTTTAGGGTTTAGGGTTTAGGATCTAAAACGGCCCTTGCAAGGGGCCTATAAACTAAACTCCCTTAGCTACCTGGTGCCGCTATGCTGGGCAGGTAGGTTGGCGCAGTTTCAAGGGCTCGGCGCTGCTCCGAGGCTGGGCCTTTAGGGTTTAGGGTTTAGGGTTTTGGGTTTAGGGTTTAGGGTTTAGGGCGAGGAATCAGGGTACTTTGGGGCAGGCCTGTGGTTGAGGGGAGGGAGGGGGGGTGCCTGGCAGGTGCCGGAGGCCCGCCGACATGAGCCGTCGGCGCTTCTTGATCTTCAGGTTTGGGCGGCTGCAGCAACCCTGCACCCCCAAACTCATAACCCTTGTTGGAGACTTGCCCTAAACCCTAAACCCCAAAACCCAAAACCCTGAACCCTAAAGCCTGAACCCTAAACCCTAATCAACCCTAAGCCAGTACCACCTTCGGCTGGAGCGGCCTGCTGACGCTGGAGGTCCATCGCGGCACCTGCGGGGCGCAGTTCCACAGCTTAACCTGACCCCATAGGGCTTGAGGGTTTAGGGTTTAGGGTTTAGGGCTTGAGGGTTTAGGGCTTGAGGGTTTAGGGTTTAGGGCTTGAGGGTTTAGGGCTTGAGGGTTTAGGGTTTAGGATTTGAGGGTTGAGGGTTTAGGGTTTAGGGCTTCAGGGTTGAGGGTTTAGGGTTGCCCTTAGAACTAGAAGCCCTAAGCCTCAAACCCTACGTTCCACCAGGCGCACCGAGGCCTCCAAAGAAGGGGTTCACAGTGTTTCAGGGATCGAGGGTTTGGAGGTCTCAGGGTTCAATGGGTTTAAGGGATCAAGGGTTTACAGGTTTAAGGGTTTTCAGGGTTTAGGGATTTCAGGGTGTTTTCGGGTGTGTCTTGGTTTAGGGCTTAGGGTGCTTTTTGTGGCCACTAGGAGAAGGCCTTTTTAAGGGGGTTTAAGGGTTTTTAGGTTTGTAGGGCTTTAGGTGTTTTAGGCGCCGTTTGGGGCCTGGTTGCAGCGTTCGAGCATCCTCAGGACACTCGGAATAAAAGGAGCCCTTTTTGGGGTTTAGGGCTATTCTTAGTTGTCCAGTATCCCCGGACTAAAGGTTGTTTTTTGGGATTCTAGAGGGAATAGAGTGTCCGCATCAGCTGAGAGGAATTGAACCAAACCCCCTAAACCCTAAACCCTAAACCCCAAATCTGCTTACCACACCACTCTGATGGATGATCAAAGACCCTTGCGCGTTTCGCTTCTCAGAGTTCTGCTTTCAAGCCTTGGAAAATTGTTTATGAAGAGGCTCTCTTCGAAAGAAGGGTAAACTGAAAGCTATCCCACAGCACAACCCAGAATCTGGGAAACTAGGCAAGGCATCTCTCTCCTTTGTTTCTCTCTTCCTTCCCCTCTCTCTCTCTCTCTCCCTCTCTCCTTCTCTCCTTTTCTCCTTATCTCCTTGTCCCCTTTTCTCCTTTAACCCTAAACCCTTATCTTAGCTTTGGAGTAGACCCTGGAAAAAAGTATATACTTTTTAGGTAATAAGTAGCAATAATAGGAACCCAGAACCAAAAAAAGTATTAAAGTACAGTACTCCAAAGCCCAGTTATAAACACTAAACCCTGAACCTTTCTTTCTTCTTGGCGGGCCTGGGGGATCGGGTTGCCGGGTAGCGATGGGCAGAAGAGGGCTTTGGGAATTGCCTCTGTACCCTAAGCCCTAAACCCTAAACCCTAAACCCTAAACCCTAAACCCTAAACCCTAAACCCTAAACCCTAAACCCAACTCTTTAAACGCAACTCCCGAGACTTCCGGTCTAGGCCCTGGGGTCTCTAGCCTGGTTTTTGGAAGGAGGGCTTGAGCTTGGGGTTTATTTTTAGGGTTTAGGGTTTAGGGTTTAGGGTTTAGGGTGTAGGGTGTAGGGTTGAGGGTTTAGGGTTTATTGTTAGGGTTTAGGGTTTATAGGGTTTGCCTAGCTGACCAAGGTTCAGGGCTTAGGAGGGTTTGCCAATTCCAGGAGAATCGTTCTGCTCGAACTTACGCGTCATCGCAGACACCCCAAACATTAAATCCTAAACCCTACACCCTAAACCGAAGAAGCTGAGGCTGGCGCAAAATGCCGCAAAATCTATCCGCTTTCCGGTGGCCTCCAGGAACGACACCTCAGGTCTGCGGACAGGCCTCAAGGAGCCCCCAATACCCCTGAAATAATGGGAATATGCCGGTTTGGGGTTTAGGGTTTAGGGTTTAGGGTTTAGGGTTTAGGACGCATCTTCACCCGTACACCCATGAATGCACAAGCACCCTTGAAACCTGGATCTGGTGTTTCTGTCCCAGCCCCCCTCCGCCCTCCAAGCATAGCAACCTAACCATGCGAAGGGCGCCCTGCTTATGCACAAAGGGGTTTGTCAGGGGATCCCCAATTAAAAAGACAAAAGAGAACGGAACTAGGCATCACAGTGTGCCCGAAGCCCTTAAGCCTAAACCTTCAACCCTTCAACCCTTCAACCCTACAACCCCACAACCCCACAACCTCACAACCCCACAACCCTACAACCCTACAACCCCAAACCCGAAACCCGAAACCCTGGAGAAGCAGGGCCCACCCAAGGTCGCGGACCAAGGGTCGGAGGAAGTCGTGCAGCTCAGACTCAAGACCTAAGGTTTAGGGTTTAGGGTTTAGGGTTTAGGGTTTAGGGTCTCGGTTCTTGCGCAGCCCAATACACCCCTGAACTAAGGGACAGTACCTGAAAATCACACCAAGGATCCCTAAAACCCCTAAGCCCTAAATCCCAAAACCCTGAACAGCGCCCCCCCCCCCCCCTACTCCAGCAACAATGGCTGGGAGGGCTTAGGCCATGGGACTTAGGGTCCAGGGTCTCGGGTTTAGGGGTATTCGGGATTTCGACTCTCCCACTCGCACAAGGCCGGCAAGGCACCGGTCGGTAGGTCCACAAGGTCTGGCGTGATACTGAGGAAGCTGCTTTGATTCGTGGTTTCGGGGTGCAGGAGTTTTGAGTTCTAGGGTGCCCTAAACCCTAAACCCTAAACCCTAAAGCTGTTTGTGTAGCACGCCCACGGGTCCTTAACTTTTTCAGCCTTTCAGGGAAAAAACTCAACCTAAACCTGAAATGGGTGTAGGGTTAGGGTTTAGGGTTTAGGGTTTAGGAAAGCCTCAACCCTGAACCCTTGAACCGCTGAACATCCATAATTGGCCCGCTTTCCCCAGCCCGGAGTAAGACGGAAGCCGTCCATCACAATCGTCGCTGCATTGAGCTTGCCCTGGTCATCAGTGGGCATACTGATACATCTCTATATACATATATATGCATATATATGTATGTATGTATATATGTGCGTATATATATATATACATGCTAGTTCATTGTTGGGACACGTAGTACTAAAAATAAAGTTCTAGTCCTTATTGAGTTTAAGTACCCGTCAAAGTAAAAATGTTACCCCGCTATGACAAAGTATATATGAATACACATACGCATATGTATATGTATATACAAATATTAAAAAAATAGAAATAGAAAGGTAAATATACATATAAATGTCAAATTAAATCTAAATCTAAATATAAATATAAACAGATATATACATAAATAGACCGAAAATGAATCAATAAAGACATGAATAAATAAATAAATAATCACAAACAAATATAAATATGAATAGACTAAAATAAATAAATAAATATATATATATATATATGTATATATACATATAAAAGCTTTAGGTTGTCGCACTTGCCTTGTGCTGCTCGGAGAGGGGCGGGGCTGGGGGGGGGGGGGGGGGGGGGGCTTGTGGCTACGACCGAAAGCCTTCCCTAAACCCAAAGCCCTAGACCCAAACCCCTCACAAACCCCAAACCCTAAACCCCAAACCCTAAACCCCAAACCCTAAACCCCAAACCCTAAACCCCAAACCCTAAACCCCAAACCCCAAACCCTAAACCCTCAACTTTTGTAAGGAAGGGTACACCTCGGGATCCTTCGCCGTCAAGCTGTCGAAGAGCTGCTTGTAGGACCGCTTCTTCTTCTCCTGGTAGGTTTAGGGTTTAGGGTTTAGGGTTTAGGGTTTAGGGTTTAGGGTTTTCAGAAGCGGGGTACTGGGGCAGGAGTCACAGTGACTAGACTACGTAGCTTGCTTTTTCCGATTGAGCCCAAGGCGCCTGTCATGCAGGAACTTGTCTCATGAATGCTATTTGACGCTTGCATGTTTGTTCATGCCTATACAAGTGTTCGTCTAACAGCTTCTGCACTATACGAAATCCAACTCGGCGCTTGTGTACAGGAAAATCTCACACCCGTCTTATCAACGAGTGGATGAGTGCGCCTCAAGAGTAATGAAATTCGTCACTCAGCTGGAGCTTCTTCTTTCACAACGGCCTCGTTGCTCTCCAAGGCGTCGTTCAGAAGCTTGGGCTTCATGCTCTTGGTCAAGCAATCAGCCAACTGAAGGTGGGTTGGAATCCATCGCAGGATGTCACCGAATGGTGCGAAGGCTTCGCTCGTCGGTGTCTCGTCTACCCACAGTGCTTGGCGCAATGCTGTCATTTCGATAGCAAGACGCTTGTCTTCCACTGGTCTGGGTACCGACGACAGCAAATGATCTGTGAGCGATCTGCAGTCGGAGTACTGCAGGTGTAGCATCTTTCTCGGCGCTACTTCGCTCCAGTCATGCAGTGACGGCAGTTTGCCTTGCAACTCTAGGAGTGTCGCACGGATCCTGTCTCCGTGCTCGGTGGCATGCTGCAGGCTGTACGCTTCACACTGTAGTGTCGCGCGGCAGACTCGTTTCATCGTAGAGCTACCGAATGCAACCAGGTGAAGCTTGTGCTTGGGTGCGTTCACGTCGCGTGCTGTTTCCGCATCAGTGAGGTAGTGCAACCTCCCCCTCTGGGACTTGTACCCAGCTTCAGCAGCAAAAGAGGCGTCACAAAACGTGACTACTGCGAGGGGGCCACTGCTCCACGGCAGTATCTTGGCGCGATACACGATGCTGCGCTCCGCGTCGCCCAAGGCGAGTGCGACCACACGGTTGGCCTCTCTCATCGTGTCGATGGTCGCGACGGTCACTCGCTGCTGCAACGCGTTGACGCGGTACGCGAGGTCGGGCCTTGTAGCCCGGGCCACCCACGCGAGTGAACCTATGACGGACCGAAGCGCCGTCCTCTGTCCTTGTGTGACAGGTGTCGTCAACTTTGCACCCTTGGGGATCTCGAGGGGAGCGATGGCACGCGTGTTGTCCCTTGAGTTGATCTCGATGGTGCCATCGGGGTGCTGAGCGTATTCTCTGCCACAGAACCTGAAGCTACCCTCTTCGATCCTCCCGATTTTGAAGTGGTCCAGCAACTGCTGGATCTTCAGCTCGCCCTCACCGAACGCTGCCCAGAAGAAGTCGTCCACGTGAGTGCACAGCATAGCGCACAGCCGGCCGCTTGTGTCGTGCGCGTAGTACAACGCGGACATGATCTGGGATGACTTCAGTCCGATGCACTTTGTCTCTTCGACTATGCGAAGGTAGAGGTTTCGGCCGGCGTCGGTCGTTCCATACACTGGGACACGGGCAATCATGTAGCCGGATTCCTGGATCTCCTTGTCCGGAACGCCCTTGGGGTTGCTAGGAGCCTTGAGGATCAGCAATCTCTCGAGCGGCTTACCCTGAAAGTAGGCGTTCGTGATGTCGGCTGCCTTGATTCGCAAACCGAGTGAGGATGCCCAGGAACAAATGAAAGCCAGTGCTTCAGGCTCGGCTGTCGGGGAATCTGCACGAATGTCCTCCCCTGTGGAGATGTGCTCGAAATTCCCGCATGCGACTAGCCTAGCTTTGTATTTGGGACGATAGCCGGGGGTGCCTTTCAAATGTTCATGTTTGTCGGTGAGAACCCACTTGGTGGGCACGCAGATGTGTCCTTGGCTAAGCAACTCCTGCACTTGCTTCTTTGAGCAAGGTATCACAGCGTGAAATTCCTGATACTTGGCCCACTCCGCGAGCATGGCCTCGTCCAACCCCAACTGCACCTCGGCCGGGCTGTTGTGGTAGTCCAAAAGTGAGGCTAGGAAACCTGTTCCAACTTCCTCGTCGTCTGAGGAGTGCATGTCGTCTGCTCGCTCAGGCTCCTCCTGACGGGGCTGCCCTACTTGGGGTGATGGAATACGCGGTTGTGGGAATTCCAAGTCTTGCATCATCTGGTGTTCATCTGCGCGCAATTTCCCAAGTGATTCATAGTGAACCCGATGATGCTGAATCTCTGCCCTTCATGGGGTTCCACCATATGGAGTTTCTTTGGGTCAAAACGAAGGACTTTGCCTCGAGTGGTGTGTAGAGTCCCGGGAACAAGGTTGCCACAAACGTCAATCACTGTGTTCCCCTCAGAGTTTTCTATCCACAGGTGACCTCCTTTCGAATAATTTCCCAAACTCATGGTGAAATTGAGCGACCCCTTCAAATTGGAGTTGTCTTTGTGCAAACTTGCCCGCGATTCGCTTACTTGGATCCCATTCCAAGTGAACTCGGTGTAGCCTGCCTTCTCACAGTGGTGCTTCAGGAAGCGGTTCAAGTAGGTCACAAAACACGGGCGTTGCTTAGTAGGATTAGAAATCCCAACAAAACCACCGTGCCTATAAACACCGAAGCTGGCGGCAAGCTCATCATCTGTTGCGTCTTGGAACATCGCTCTTTTCGTCCTCTTCGGTTTGTGTTTCTTGCACAACCTGAGTAGTTCGAGACAGTGGCTCGTCTCGAAGGCCATTGCTTCCAGGAGCTCGCTTGCCTTTGCTTCTACAGGATCGGTGTCCTGTGCCTCAGCCATCAGCGCGCTGGAGCTTTGTCTGGGCGGGGAACGAGTTCTTTCCCTGCCCGTCTTATCACTGGGCGAAATCTCCTTGCTTGTGATGGCGGGACTCTCGGCCGCTGCGACTCTCATGGGAGTAGAGGGAGCCGACGCTAAGCCAGTGTTCGGTCTGGGGGTAGAAGGCGCTGTTACTGGATCCTTATCTCTTTCGTCGAGATAACGTTGCTCTGGACCGTGGACAATGGAACCTGGCAGAACGGGCTCTCCGGTCAGAACTCGACGTGCAGCTACTTCGACCTCATCTGCAGGCCTCATCTTTCTGGCATTGACCAACACAGGCACACCCTCATGCAGCAACCAGTATGCATTCTCTGCCTCGCGCCCTATCACGCGGCTTGCAGTTGACCACACAGTGGAAGTTGAACCGGGCAAATTGTCTCTTCGGTAAATGACTAAATCGCCCACCTGGTACTCCATGTCCATGGGAGCTGCATTCCTTTGCAATGCACGAGCAACCTTCCTGGACGAGTCCAAGTGCACGAAGGCTTTGCGGGCTTCTTCCCGGGCTCTATGTCGGGAATAGAAAGGAGTGGTCTCATCGAAACGGGCCAACAAAGTTCCCATGCTCTCATCTTCATCCATGACTGAACCTGGTGTCCTAGGTCGCTTGCCTAGCACATGCTGTGATGGGCTGAAACCTTGATGTCTGGACAGGTCATTCTTTGTAGTCACACATTCACTGACCACCATAACCATGTCTTCCCAAGTCGAGGGCTGAATCTCCTGCACTGTTTTCCTTACCAGTGCCTTGAGCAAACCACCATGTCTTTCGACCTTCCCTATGGTCTGCGGAGATTCTAAGGGTGCATTTCGGAGATGAATCCCATGTTGTCCCATGTAACTTGCAAACTCTCCCTTGAAATGCGTTCCCCTATCAACCACTACATGCTGTGGATGTCCTGCCCACGATACCCATCGCTCCATGAAAACCTGCAAACATTGCCGTGCGCTGGGATTGCCACCTCCTGACTTTATCAGGGCTACTTGTTGAAAGCTGGTTCCCATGTCGACCATGTTGACTGCAGTGTAGCGGGTACCATCGACATCCTTTACTTCCATGCAATCTATGCCAAGTGTGTGATTGAACTCTTTCGGAAACACCGATTCCCCCGAGACTGGATGATGTCGCGGAACTGGTGCAGTGTCTAGGCAAGCCTTACATCGGTGAAGGCGGGCAGCTAGGATGAACTCCTTGGATGCCTTGCTCTGCCTAAGGACCTGCTCCAGGACTTTACCTGGGAGATGACCGAATGCCCTATGGAGCCGCCTGATAGCAACCCTCGTGCGCTGTGGGAGCGAACGCCAAGCTGCTCTGCGTTCTTCCTCCGATGCCGGAGTACCTGGGAAAGACAGTTGCTCGAGAATGAGTTGCTCTCTCTCTTCAGGGGTGAACACTGAGGCCCCATTGTCTTGCTCCCTAAGTAGTTCAGCCATCTCTTCATCGGGGATGAGTTCCTGATCTTCCATGTCGGAACCTAAACCTTCCGACCCTACAAAGCAATTGCGTGTGTAAGAGTTCAGGTAAAGCTCCTGTGAAATGTCACGACACGTGGCCCAGAAATCATGTTCTTCCGTGTCTGCATAGCAACGGGGGCTCATGCCATAGCTCTCAGTCCATGTGGACAAAACCTGGAGTGCATCGTCGATGTTCGGCCCTACCCCGGAAACATTCAAGTCTCCTCTTACCTCGACGGTACTTTCGAGTGTTGGGCATCCATAGGGGCTCACCAAGACAATGCTCACTCCAGCTGTGTCAGCTAGGCACTCACACTCTAAACACAACTCCTCGGTGGGAGCGTCGACCCTCAGAACTATGAGACCGGGCACACCTGTCTCCAGGTTGGCAATGGTCTCGCTGATCACCTGCGCGTCAAGGGATTCGGGTACCCATTTGCAGTGTGAAATAGGAGGATCAGTGGGGGTGAAGGCAATCATGTGATCCGTAGCCACTGCTGCGTTGAATGCAATCGCTTGCAACACACGATCTCCCGCAACCATTTCCTGAATCCCACTAAGCACCCTCTTCCTCTGCCTGTTGCTGAGTTTGGGCAGTGAGTGTGCAGTGTCACGGGTAATTGCTCTGGGACCATCATGTGCAGGGATTAGCTCAAACTCATCGTCGGAATCCTCAACATCGAACCTTACCTGCTTGAACTCCCCAAAGTCATTAACCCCCTGCAATGACGCCATATATGCGCTCAGCTCATCGCGGTCTGCAAGGGTCTTCGGAACTGTGTCCGGCGCAAAGGCCTTTGGATACAACCAAAGCACAAGGTACGCACCTCCACTTGGCGGAGGCTCGGTTGGGCACACTTGCTCGGCCTTGAATTCACCGCAAACGTCCTCGGTACTGTGACCGGGAGGACACACCGTCCCCTGTGGGATCCACACGCCGCCCTTGTTCTTCGGGTTGTCGTTGAGAAACAGCCACCCGATCGGTGTAGGGCCTTTGACATTCCCACAAGGCTTGTATCCCTCCCTCGTGTGAGGGGTCACGGCAGTCACCTTGAAGTTGTGGCGCTCGGACTTGTCCGTGTGTTCCAGATCCTGAGTGGAGAAGGACTTGGGCATGTAGGGGCCAATCCACAACGCCGGACTCGGACGCCCGTACAGAAGGCCGCAGAACTCGTGCATCACCTGGTCCGGGAGCAGGTCGACCAGGACTCGCCTGTTCCACGAAAGGCTGGCGTCGTCCGAAGTTGGAATCTCCGTAAGATCCAAAGCGAGGATTGCCGGATCCAACTTGATGCGTTTGCCCTCTCCCGGCGGTGCGGGGCCCTGACTCTTCCTCCACTGCGCCCAGACAACGTTAAAGTTGTCAGCCGCCGGATCATGGAAGTAGTTCTTCAGCTCCCGCCTGTCCAGGGGTCGATTCTCCTCAAAGCGCCTCTGCCAGAACTCCTCGTCGGCGGCCCTGTTGGCACGCGCCTCCAAATGTGGGGCCCATCGTCTCACAGGTGGCTTGGGTGGCTCGGGCGGAGCCTGATGATCCCAATCGCCAGCTCGGGACCACTCATCATCCCAAGCATCCCACTGGTTCTGGTCGTATGAGGAGGTCTCGCGAGCGGTGTCGCGGTAGCTGCTGCTGGGGTGCCACTGATCACGGTCACGATCACGATAAGAAGACGACTCTCGGCGGGAAGACTGCGCTCTGTGATCATCGTGGTGGCTTGATCTCTCCCTCCGGACCTTTCTCCGGGAGTCACTTGAACTGCTCCTTGCCCTTCGGTCATGGTGTCGATGTCGGGAGCGGGAACGACCACCGAACTGGGCAAGGGCATCTTGCAGGAGCTGTTCTGCACGCTCCGCTCTCCGTTCCGCCTCCTGCTTGTCCCGCTCGGCGTCCCGGAGCTTGCTTCGAAGTGACTCGACTTCCTTGTCTCGCAGCGCTAACTTTCTCTCCAGGGTTTGTACCTGGGCCTGAACCGGCAGATGACTTGAGGTGGCAGTGAACACGCCTGAGCCCGCTTGCTGATGAAGCCTCCCTGTCAGGGAGCTTGGGTCCCACTTCGCCACGTAGGAGGTGTGCTGCTTGCCACGAAGCCCCAATCGAGTAGCTGCCTGCGATGCTGACTCTCCCTCTCCAGGCGCTACTTCCAGCGGATCTGATGGGACCTCTTCCACCTCATCGTCTGCGTCCAGATCAGTAACTTCCTCCGGAGCTGTGCCCGGGGCCCTTTCAGGCTCTGACTCGCAGTGCAACATGCATGTGGTGCTCTCCTTGACATCGCCTTCCAGATACTTGATGAAGTCGGCTAACACCTGCTCGTAGGCCGCCTTCGCATCGTCTGTGCGATGTGTGCACCAGCTGCAATGCCCGCGGCAAGATCCACCCATGAGCGGCCAGGACTGTTCGCTGTTGCAATGCTGCATGGAAACATGAAGTCCTTCAACGCGAAGTAGCATGTGCTCAATGAGGATGCCTCCTGCCACGGAACGGTGCCGGTTTTGTCTGCAGACAACGCTAATGTTCATCGCCTGGTAGCCCTGCTCCATTGACTTCTTCACCTTGGAACGGATGGCTCTGCAATGTTGCAGGAATCCAGGGTCTGCAGCTATCGCCTTCATTATAGAAGGGTGGGAACCCACATGATCTCGGAGGCTTGTATCTCGCTTGCGATCTGCGAGCTCAGGATCCAAACTCCTGGCATTCGGCAAGTATGTCAGGTCAAAGAAGATGCCGACGAATGCGCCTCCGAGTTCAAGGGTAGCCTCTGCCGAGCGCATCTCACTAAACATGTCAGCGAAATGCTGTGGCTCCCAAGCGTTGCGGATCTTATCGACGGCCTCCTCGAAGTTGTAGCCGAAGGTAAAAATGTCCGCGGCGTGCTTGGGATTGTCTCCTCCCTCGGTGGGGAAGGTCTCGGAATTCAGCTGCTGAGGCCTCGCCTTAGGCGCGGGGCGCTGTGAAGGTGCGATGGCCATGGCTGCTGTCAAATTTGTGTTCTCACCTTGGGGTTCACTTATAGAGTGCGTCTGCATTGAAGAGGCCTTTCGTTTGGTGACCTTGCTGTTTGCGCACTTATCCGAACCCTCTGCTGCTATTGCTCGGGCAGCACCTGCAGGTGGCGGTGGGATCGCAAATCCTCGAACAAGGCGGGGTTGTTTCCCTTGCAAGAGACCATCGGTTAGGCAAATGCAAAGCAAACCTGAGTCTGATGTCCGATGCAACTTGAGTTCAATGGTCTTGTCGGGGTTCGACGGGAGCCTTACGGAGCACGTCCCTAGGTGTAGGTCTTTTGCCATCCCAAGTTGACTCTGGGCATGAAGCGATAATAGGAGGGGTGCCCCACCAGGGATCTCATGGGAATCTAGCGCCCCACACAATCTTTCCCTATGGGAAACCTCCTCGCCCTCAACTGAATCCAAGGGCAAAAGGCAGAAAGGAAAGGTTCGGGTCCCAAGCGTGGAAGTGGAACCACTCAAACCCTTGAAGGTCTTGGAAGTCTCCTTCGCAAACCTCGTGGAATACCCAAAGCTCGCATACTTGGACATGCTCTCGTGACCCCAATCCTCGCCATGAACCGTTGAGTTACACCCTTCATCCAGGACTGCGAAAACATGTGGGGATGTGCGAATGTTAACCACGGGGAGTTTGCTCAAACTGGGGTTCGTGTCTGTGACTCCCTCGTGTGGTCCGGCAAGCATGGCAACCATTGCTGTACCGGGCCTTCTTCCCGATGAAGCCATCTCCCAACTCGCGCTCGTGGGGCTCGCATCATCCGCATGATCGTCCAGAGCCTCTTGAAGGTAGGCAAACAAGTCTCCCCTCGTTATCGAAGGTTCGGTGACGAAGTGACCCTCAACTGCCTCCTTGAACTGTTCAAGGGCTGGTACGACCACTTCTACAGGCACTCGGTCCCCTGTTCTGCCCACTATAGAGCGCATCATGTCGAAGTCTAGGGTGTTCGTGTCTCGCAGCTGTGCTGCGGCTGCGTCCCTAGCTTTCTTCTCTTCTTGGGGCAGTTCATCTAGGATCATGCCACAAAGCTTGCACTTGATTCGGCTGGTTGTCTTGCTGGAACCTGAACGATCTACCTGGGCATGCGTGCATGTGGTAGGGTCGACCTGAACCTGTTCTTTGCGAGTCTTGGTTACCGTGCCACAGGACTTGCATGTGCGCATGTCTATGTACGAATTGCTCCCTGTCTTGCTAAAGGTCTTACAACCACCCCTGCACTTGGGCCGGAAACCGGTACTGGATGAGGCGGTGCCTTCAGCGTTGGCTGCGCGGTCAGCAACGGGAGTTGGGGGCATCATCGTGCTAAGAGGGATGTCTCTTCTACGCACTTCTATGGGGTCCGTGTCTTCTACCACATAGTGCTCGTGCGCCCAGTTCAGGAAATCACCCAAACACTTGGAAGGACACTTCTGTGTTTGACCCCAAAGGACATACCCAGGATAGGTGTGCAGCACTCGTTCATACGTCAGGCCTTTGTGATGACCAAAAGTGAACAAGGTGTCAGATCCTGGCGGTGGGCTGTCACGCATGGCAGTGGCTTCCGATCTGCGAACACGAGGACGCTCTGAGGGTCCTCCGCTCCTTTCAGCGGGATAGCCCTCCATGTCTCTTGAAGTGTTGGAAAGGTGAATGGCAGGGATCTCATCGTCCGATGCGTCACTCAGTGCGGCAAGGTAGGCTTGTGAGGAGGATGCCATCCCGGGCTTCCCGGGTGAGGCGGACTTCTCTGCACCTGGACCACCCTTACCGGAACCCTTAGGACCTCCGGGACTACCCTTAAACCTGCATTCAGCGTCACCGGCCCAATGACCGATTGCGCCGCATCGCAAGCATCGGCTGCGAGCCTTCAGCTCGGCAAGTTTGGCTTTCCTGTCGGCGATAGAAAGATTGGAAGGAGGGACCTTACCACCCTTCTTACCGCCAGACTTACCAAAACCCTTACCTTTGTTACCCTTCACATTGGCAAGTGTGGTTTGGGCTGCGTATGCCAGCTGCAATGCTTCGGCGTGCTCCTCGCCTGGCTCGCCTCCAAGCTCTGTCTGCATAGCTGTATATGCGTTGAGAGCCAAGGCTAATGCACTGTCATCAACCCATTCGCCTTCGTCTTCCTCGACCTCATGCTCCTCGGCTACATAGGCCTGACTTTCTGGCTCCTGGTACTCATACTCGTCATCCTCCATGAAACCCTGTGTCATGTAACCGTACCGAGGCTTCTGCTGAAATGAGGTATTCTCCCACCGGGGCTTGGACCATGTTCTAGCGGCAGGCTTGTCTTTCTCAACGAGCAGGCGTTCACGCATATGCACAACACTATGATGCTTGATCAATACGCGCGCATACTCATCTACTGTCTCGGCTTGTGCTGCGGTGCGCACCATGAGCTGCTCTTGGCGCGACAAACCAGACAGTTCCACAAGGAGATTGGCACGCATGGCCTCTGACAACCTGACTTCTGGGTCCAATTCCCTTAGGGTAACCCACCAGCGCTTTCGCCGGGAAATGTAAGACAACATCGGCTCCCCTGATTGTTTGGACAAGGGACCTGTCAGCAACTGGCCTTGCCTGAACAATTCCGATGCCTCTTCCCCCTGCAAGGGAAATGCTTGGTCTTTGACCTTCTGAATGAGGAGATCAATGCCGTCGTGCTTCAACAACCTCTCGAGACCTATGTCTCGGGCGACAAGAAAGGCGTCGCCACGGAGGCCTTCCAGCGTCTTCTGAACTGCATCAGACATGTCAAGATCACTATCGCGGACCGAAGCGAGTGTGGGGACAGGCTCAGTCTCAACCGAAGCTTGCCCGTCGTCCTCAACCTCATAATCTTGTGGCTGTTGCTCTTCTTCGCCACCGTCTCCTGACGACATGGACTCCGCACCGGCCTGGCGGCCGCGCCGGCGTCCTGGGGCACTTGAAGGACTGGCTGCCATTCCACTGCTCTCATCACCTGTGTGACGGTCCGGGGATCTTATGCCACCACCTACCCACTTTCGTGGGGATGCAGAACGGCTGAGTTGGTGGCTGGAACGAAGGTCTTTCAAGACCTCTCGACGCTGCCTTTCACGATGCTGGGATACACGGGCACGTGTGCGAAACTCCCAGTCGTGGAAGGACGCTGCGGAGCCGCTGTAAATGTAGCTTCCTGACTTGGTTTCTGCTGGGGTGTCAAGGCTAAGTACAGGGTCGTACTTTAACCCAGCTACCGACATGGTGTCGGATTTGCGCAGTGCAGTGGTCTATTGTAGACTGGCAATGCTGACGTTCTTTCGGCTTCTTGGCTCACACCCAAATCCCCCTTAGCTTTCTCTTCCGGACGAGATTGCTGCGAGGAATGAAAAATGTGTCACTGAGCTCCACAGCTCCGCTACCAGTTTCAGAAGCGGGGTACTGGGGTCGGAGTCACAGTGACTAGACTACGTAGCTTGCTTTTTCCGATTGAGCCCAAGGCGCCTGTCATGCAGGAACTTGTCTCATGAATGCTATTTGACGCTTGCATGTTTGTTCATGCCTATACAAGTGTTCGTCTAACAGCTTCTGCACTATACGAAATCCAACTCGGCGCTTGTGTACAGGAAAATCTCACAAGGGTTTGGGGTTTAGGGTTTGGGGTTTGGGGTTTAGGGTTTGGGGTTTGGGGTTTAGGGTTTAGGGTTTAGGGTTTAGGGTACTGTGTATCACACCCTGCTTCTGGGAGCACCTACATCTAGACACCAGAGTAACCCCGGAATACTTACAAAGGGTGCCTTTTTGGTTTAAGAGGGGCTACAGGGTACAAAAAAGATCGAAATTATCGACCTCGAACATCCCCACAATACTAAGACTCAGTAGTGCTCCTGGGATACATGGGGTACTACGCTGTTGGGTTCTGGGATTCTCTGGAGGGGGTACTGGGAAGGCACGCCAGGGCTTCGGGCTTCGTTATGCTTTGTGGGAGTCGTGCGTCTCCAGCCTGAGGATTCTCTGGATGGCTACTGGGAGGGACTCTGGGCAGAAGAGCCCGGTCCAGTTCATCTGGACGAGATCTACGGGAGACCTAAGCGCGGAAAAGAGCTGAGATAGACATCTGACAACACCAGGACGAGTGGGACCCAACGACTCCCCCAACAAACCTCAAACCCTAAAACCCCAACAACCCCCCCCCCCCGGAAACACGCACAAACTGGAAACCCTCAAGCCCATAGGAATTCGAAAAGCACACTAACCCCACGAAGGCAGCAAAATCCAAACAAGAACTTCAGAACCCTAAACCCAAACCCTAAACCCTAAACCCTAAACCCTAAACCCTAAACCCTAAACCCTAAACCCTGAACCCTGAACCCTGAACCCTGAACCCTCAACCCTGAAACCTAAACCCTAAACCCTAAACCCGAACCCTAAGAACCCGCGGTGCGCCTCGAAGAGCTGTCGGGAGTTGTCACCCATCTTGGGAGTTGGCGGCCTCTGCAACCGCAGAATTTAGGGTTTAGGGTTTAGGGTTTAGGGTGTAGGGTTTAGGGTTTAGGGTTAGGGCTAAGGGTTTAGGGTTTGGGGTTCAGGGTCGCAGTTTTTAATCTTATGGGGTTTCGGGTTGGTTTAAGCCCTACAAGCATTTGCAAGCACATAAAACATGTACACGAATGAACAACAGAGAAAAGAAGTAAAGACATGTATACTTATATGTCTGTGCTTGTGTAGCTTAGGGTTTCGGGGCCAGGGTTCTAAAACCTAAGCCCCAAGCCCAAAACCCAGGGTTTGTCTTGCAAGTTTTCTTCCTTGCTGTGAAAGTCTCTTTAAGACTTTTGCAGGGGACATCGTCTCGTCTCGTCTCCCTGAGAAGCCGCACCCCAAATATATTTTGGATTTGGGGATGAGCGTGGATCTTGGGGACTAAGTCTCTAACAGCAACAAACCCTAAACCCTAAATTCTAAACCCTGAAGCCGAGGCACATCTGATGCCGCTTGATACGAGCTCGGAAAAGCTTGACCCTGAAAGCTTTCGACAGCAAGGCTGGTTCGCAAGTCGCGGGCCTGGGAGCTTCAGTGGTCTGAGGATACCCTAAACCCTAAACCCTAAACCCTAAACGCCACTGAGGCCACGGCTGGTCAGCGTCCTGCGGCGCCTGCAATGGGCCAACAGAAGTAAGGATCCAAATGGTGAGGACAGCTGTTCCAGCAGTACGTGGAGGTTCATGGGTAGTTTTAAGTATGGAAAACAAACCCTACATATATATATATATATACCCCCATGAACCAAGTAGAGGTCCCATTTTGAGGGGGCTCCTTTTCACAAGACTCTTCTATAGTTGGGTTGGCCCAGATCCTGAAAAAGGCAACCCTGAACCCTTTTGAACCCAAACTCGGACTCCGACAGCTGGGTCTCCCTGACTTGCTCAATGGCAGGAAACGGAAGGGGTTATACCCCAAACCCCAAACGCATTGACTCCAAGTCCGTGCCAACCGTAAGCCCCAAACCCTAAAGCCCAACCCCCCCCCTTGTAGCATCTGAATTCCTGGCAAGAGCCCCCTGGCCTGTGGGGCGACCGTCTGCGCTTTACCCCGACCTGGGTCTTAGTCTTCAAAAGAACCCAATCTGGATGTCGAATAGAAGCATATATGATATAAATATAAATATATATATATATACATATATGTATATATACAACTAAAAATAAATAAATAAATATATGTATATATTTATATATATACATATCAGACCATGTAAATGTATATAGCTCTTAGGGTTAAGCGATCTGGTTTCCAAATATATGTATATAGGGTTTCGACTCTCGCCCTCGCACAAGGGGTTTAGGGTGTAGTTCCGAGAAGTGTGTGTATACACATATATATATATATACATATATAAATACATATATATATATACATATATATAGAGACCGGGACGCTGTGGGAGTGCACTTTTTTCCATTTATTGAAAGACATTTTAAAAACACTCTCGCAACGTACCCGTATTGTATATAAACAAAATCACGAGACATGCATAACATGCAAGTACGCCAACACAAAGCAGCGATACAGTGTATGTCCTGACCTGAGTTACTGTCCCCGTTGTCTAAATAAATAGGCCAACTTTATTAGAAACAACAATAGGAATCCTCCATCTAAATCCATAGGAACCCTATTTTAAATTAATCGGCGCCGTAAAGTCAATAGGAAGCCTCTGAATATGAATTGGAGGCCCCTCAAAATTAAGGAGAATCCTCGTAGAATTAATAAGAACCCTGTTAAACTGAAGAGGAACCCTACTACAATTAACACGAACCAATCGGACCCCTATAAAAAAATGTGAACCCCTAGAAAAATAATAAGAATCCTACGAAAATGAACATGAGCCTAAACCGATAGGAATCCCTTTCAAGTGAATGAGATCCTTATTAATATTAAAACGAATCCCATTAGCATGAATAAGAATCTGACAACAAAAGGATAGGAATCTTATTGCATGAGTAGGGGCCTTTTTAAAGTAATTAGGAACCCTATGAAACTTTATTGGAATCCTATGAAAATAAATAGGAATCCTCTATTAAATTATCGGAACCGGAAAACAGGTAATAGGAAGGAAGCCTATGAAAATGAATAGGAACCCTTGACAAATCAAAAAGAACCGGGTTATAATTCACAGGAATCCTATTAGGACGAGAATGAATCTTACTAAAATGAATAGGAACCAGTAGGCCTGAAAAACAATAGGATCCTTTAACAAGAACTATACCTTTGCGAATCCCAGTAACATGAATAAGACCGCTGTTTAAATTGATAGGAACCGTATTAAATTGGTAGGAGCCTTAGGGCGTGATGTCTTAAAATATGTTGCTAAGGTACAGTGTTTAGTATAGATATTAGGTTTTGCTTATTGGGGGATGATTGCTTGAAATCTCCTCGCTAAGGTATAGTTTTTCAGGATAGATGTCATGTCTTGCGTATTTGGCCGTGATTGACTATATGGAAGTTTTGGTACTCTCGAGATTTCGCTGGATTCGATTTTTTTTGGTAATGCGGTGTGCTTGATTGTCCATGTTAGCGCGTTTGTCACGTACAAAAGGGCACTCAGAAATAAACAACACACACAACACAAATAACAGAAACAACTGTACAAACAAAAAACGTACAAAAAGGAAATAACACCAAAGAACCTAAAGAAGGCCCAAAAAACACCCTTCAGAAGATACCGAAAAACCGTACAAAAGGAAATGATACAGAAACATCTCCAATAATACACAAAAATCCTCCAAAAACCAAAAAAACCAAAAAAAACAAAAAAAACAAAAAAAAAAAACAAATCCTGAGAGACTCTTCCCAGGGGTCCGGCTCCCCAACAGAGTCCCTCAGGATTGTTTTTTTTTGGTTTTCTTGCACAAAAATCCTCCAAAAACCAAAAAAACCAAAAAAACCAATCCTGCGAGACTCTTCCCAGGGGTCCGGCTCCCCAAAAGAGTCCCTCAGGATTGTTGTTTTTGTTTTTTTTTGGTTTTTTTGGTTTTTTGGTTTTCTTACACAAGAACCCCCAAAAAACCAAAAAAACAAACAAAAAACAATCCTGAGAGACTCTTCCCAGGGGTCCGGCTCCCCAACAGAGTCCCTCAGGATTTTCTTTTTTTTCTTGGTTCTTTTATTTTTGGTTGTTGTGGGGATTTGTTGTGTGTGTGTTTATTGTTTTTTTTATTTTTTTTTCCATGCTTTTCGTGTGTTTTTAGGTTGTTTTTAGGATTTGCATGTGTTTTTTGCGGAAAAAGTGCACTCCCACAGCGTCCCATTTTCTATATATACATATATATATATATACATATATATATATATATACATATATATATACATATATAGACACATATATATATATATACATATATATATATATACATACATATATATATATATACATATATATATACATATATATATATACATATATATATATACATATATTCACATATAAAAAGAACAACATGTATATGTAGTGTTTGGGGTATCAGAGTGCCCCTCTATACCCCTTAGTTAAGCAGATACCGTGATTTTTTCGGATCCTGAATATGGTCTAGGGCATATTCCTTACTTAAGGGATACTGGGCTCTTTGGGGAGTCCATCTGGATTCCTCTGAGGCCCTCTAAGATGAAGCGTCCCGAAACACTTTTTGCGAGTACAAAGTTGCAGACACAAAAACCAGGGCAGCTTAACTCTAAGCTTTCCTCAAGATCTGTTTGGCCATTACTGCAG